GAAGAAGTTATGGCAATCATGGTAGCACTTATAATGATTTAGGACAGTTCAAAATAGCGATCCAGTACCATCAACGTCATCTAGAAATTGCTAAAGAGGTGGGAGACAAGGCCGGAGAGGGAATCAGTTATAGCAGTCTCGGCAACGCTTATAATTGTCAAGGACAGTTCAAAAAGGCTATCCGGTACCATCAACGTCATCTAGAAATTGCTAAAGAGGTGGGAGACAAGGCCGGAAAGGGAAAAAGTTATGGTAATCTTGGCAACGCTTGTAACGGTCTAGGACAGTTCAAAACAGCGATCGAGTACCATCAACGTCATTTAGAAATTGCTAAAGAAGTGGGAGACAAGGCCGGAGAGGGAAGAAGTTATTGCAGTCTCGGCAACGCTTATAATGGTCTAGGACAGTTCAAAACAGCCATCAAGTACCATCAACGTCATCTACAAATTGCTAAAGAGGTGGGAGACAAGGCCGGAGAGGGAAAAAGTTATGGCAATCTCGGCAACGCTTATAAAGGTCTAGGACAGTTCAAAACAGCCATCCAGTACCATCATCGTCATCTAATGATTGCTAGAGAGGTGGGAGATAGGGCCGGAGTGGGAATCAGTTATGGCAATCTCGGTAACGCTTATCAAGGTCTAGGAGAGTTCAAAACAGCCATCCAGTACCATCAATTTCATCTAGAAATTGCTAAAGAAGTGGGAGACAAGGCCGGAGAGGGAAAAGGTTATGGCAATCTCGGCAACGCTTATGACGGTCTAGGAGAGTTCAAAACAGCCATCCGGTACCATCAACGTCATCTAGAAATTGCTAAAGAAGTGGAAGACAAGGCCGGAGAGGGAAGAAGTTATGGCAGTCTTGGCAAGGTTTATAATTGTTTAGGACAGTTTAAAAGAGCCATCCACTACCATGAACGTCATCTAGAGATTGCTAAAGAGGTGGGAGACAAGGACGGAGAGGGAAAAGGTTATGGCAATCTCGGTAACGCTTATGACAGTATTGGACAGTTCAAAACAGCTATCCAGTACCATCAACGTCATTTAGAAATTGCTAAAGAAGTGGGAGACAAGGCCGGAGAGGGAACCAGTTATGGCAATCTCGGCAACATTTATCAAGGTCTAGGACAGTTCGAAACAGCCATCCAGTACCATCAACGTCATCTAGAAATTGCTATAGACGTGGGAGACAAGGCCGGTGAAGGAAGAAGTTATGGCAATCATGGTAGCACTTATAATGATTTAGGACAGTTCAAAACAGCCAACAAGTACCATCAACGTCATCTAGACATTGTTAAAGAAGTGGGAAACAAGGCTGAAGAGGGAAAAAGTTATTACCTTCTCGGCAGGATTTGTCAGGCTCAGAGTGATTTGAAAACAGCTATTGCTTGTTTTGCACGTTACCTAGAAATATCCAAAGAAGTGGGAGATAAGACTGGAGAGGCGTGCTCACTGCATTCCCTTGGAATCAGTTTTGAGTGCCAAGGAAATCTTATGATGGCCTTTGACTGTTATTACTCGAGTGTAGAATTGTATGATGATATCAGGGCCAGTCTTCAACTCAACGATCAGTGGAAGATTTGCTATCGTAATTTACACCAAGGAGCATACAAAGGTTTGTGGCGTATAAATCTCAAGCGAGGTCAAGTTGTGAAGGCTCTTCTTGCCACAGAGAAAGGGCGTGCTCAAGCTCTGAGAGATCTCATGGTCAGAAAATATCAGCCTGAAGATTCTTTAACGCCTAGAGCATCCCGCATTTCTCTGAGGTGGGTTCCATTGAGTACAGTTTTCATAGCTATTAATGGACCATGCGTTTACTTCTGGGTTTGCCTCAGTGAAAATAACATCCAGAAGAGAGAAGTACACGTGAACAATTACAAGTATGAGGATAAATTGAATGTTTTCATGCAGGTACTGAACCAAACTGCTCTTAAGGAGATCAGTAAAAGAGAAACTGTAACCATCGAATGTCCTCCGCTTGACTTGCCGATAGAAGAGAAAGTGGCCAATGATGTGATCCGAGTTGATGTGAGGCACTCCCAATCCAGCGCTTTAAAGAAGCTGCATGACATCATCGTTACTCCTATTGCTGACCTGATCGAAGCCAACGACGAGATCACGTTCGTTCCCGAGGGGCCATTTTGCCTTGTACCTTATGCAGCGTTGCAGGACTCCAACTCATCA